GGAATGCAGAGTTTGGTCGCCGTCGTGAATTTAGGGTCTTATTACGCAGTTGGCATTCCATTGGGTCTCGTCCTTACTTATGTATTCGACCTTGGTGTTAAGGTAAAAGAATATGTGTGTCCAATTTATTGTATTATATTAAAATAGTATTATATAGTATATATGTAATTGATTTAAGAGGTTAATAATAACTTGGGATTTTACAATGCAGGGGCTTTGGATTGGAATGTTGGGTGGGGTGGCAGTGCAAACCCTTATACTTTCCTGCATCATATACCGAACCGACTGGGACATTGAGGTGATTATAATGCATATTATCTTGTATTTTTTTTACGTAACTAACAAAATGTTATTAGACTCTATGTGAAAAATAAAACGTGGCGGTTCGTTTATAAAAATGTAAATGCATCGATCGAGATTTTTATATATTATGTTTTTTTTTTTTGCCAAGGTTGAGAAGACGAGACAACGTCTAAAGAGGTGGCTTTAAGGCGGAAGAGAAATGATGAAGAACACTTGTTCTTTACAAAATTATTATTATTACTATTGGATACAAATAAGAGTACGTTTTTATTCGTTAGCCGTGTGTTTTATGGACCGACCGCCTAATCGCTGGTCCAATTTTATTTGCAAGCAGTCTCGCGTGATGTGATAAATTGTCTACGTGGCTCCTTTGTGTGCTCGAGGAGACTGTGGATGATATTAATAAAGTGTTGGCTCGTGATTTGTACGTCGTGAAGGTACAGGAATATGGCCGTTTTGAAGATGCTGAATAATCTTTATTATATCTACTTTTCAAGTTCAATTCGGTCTTTAATTTTTTAAATTTTTTTTTTTTTTTTTTTTTTTTGTGAAATACTTGTTTAAGTTTCCTTTTTATTTTTTAATGTTTTATTCCTGTTTCCGCAAGCAACCTTAATTTTCCATTTTTTTTTTAATTCCATAAAAAGAGAGAGATTTTTTTTTATTAAAAAAAAAGCTGGTCGTGAGAGGTCGGGTCAGGTCGTCTTCCTGCAAGCAAACCCGTCCAAAAGAAACCTCAACAATCGGAAGAAATTCTCCATCTTTTTTCAATTGCTCAGAAAAAAGGGAACACTTTAGCTTTTTTCTGAAGAAGAATAAGACCGAGGAGAAGAAACCCCGATTACCGGAGACACCTGGAGTTTCATTCGGGTTTCGACCCGAATACCCGGAAATGAAGGTAGGTGGGAAGAAGAAGACCCAGATGGCTAACGACGCCGTTGAGGCGGATACGGCAGAGAGTAACGGCGGGGAGAGTTCGAAGAGGGCCTTCACCGGCGCCGGCGACGACGGCGGAGGAGGATGTGACGGTGGGGAGTCGGCTCTCCGCGAGGTGGGTGATGATGTGCATAACAAGGACTGGGAAGAAGTAGGGGACGGAGAAGAAGATGATGGTGGAGAAGAGGAGAGGCCAAAGCTAGACGAAGGGTTCTTCGAAATCGAAGCCATTCGTCGTAAGAGAGTTAGAAAAGTAAGCTCGTTTCTGTTTTCCTCAGTCATTGGATAGAGACAAATGTGTTTCTGGGTGTTGTTTGTTTCCCATAAATTTGGTCCTTTTCTGGTTTCATTTAAGGTTGGATCATTTAGATGACTTTTTTCTTTTTAATGGCTGTGCAACGGCATAATTCTTGCTCATTAGGAAATCTCGGTGCAATTCAATGGTGATAACAAAGCCTGTAGAGTAGTATCTGATCCATGTTTTGCTTTTATGTTCGATTTATTTTTTCTGATCCGGATAATGTATTGTGCTTCTTGTTGGTGCTGCCAATGTCTTTATCAAATGGTGCTGTAATCATAGGGCAAGCTCCAGTATCTTGTCAAATGGTGAGTTCTTGAATGGTATCTGTTTTCATATATTCCACATCATATCATATGGGTTTCGACATGCTTTTCTGTTGATATAAGCTCTGTCGTGAAGGCGTGGATGGCCCGAAGCTGCGAACACTTGGGAGCCTTTGGAGAACCTGCAATCTTGCTCCGATTTTATCGATGCATTTGAGGACAGGTAAATTGTCTTTGGCATTGGCAGTGTGATTTCTCTTTCTTTCATTGCAATCTATCTAAGTTATCTGTTTCCCTAATCTGAATCATCTAATTTACTTTTGATTGGTTGTATGTTTGTTATTTCCAGATTATGATACCATGCTGTTCAAAGTTTGTGTTTTTTAAGCTGATTTGTGTTGTTCTTGATTCAAAGTTTTCGACCAGGAAAGCATGGCAGGAAGCGGAAACGCAAATCTGGAGGTTTTCTTTCTCACACAAAGAAGAAGCAGCCACGTTCAATGTCTGCTTCTCATGATGCTACCGGTGCTCTAACTGTTGCCTTTGGAAAATCTCCATCTTCTACATCTCCAAGCATCTCTACCTTTCCAACTGACCTCAATGGTTCGACTAAAAAAAGGGGCCGGCCAGTGAAAAAGACTTGCCTTGACAACCAGGTTGATGGAAAGAGAGGTAGTGCAGGTGGAGACCAAGTCAATTCGGAGAAAGAATATGATCCCACACTTAACGAGCTTAGAGGACCAGTTTCTCGTAGTGAGGTCTATTCATTCAATAACTCTGTGGAATGTTCCCATGGCGGTATTGGCTCTGAAGGTGATGCTCCAACCAATGGCCTTCTTAAGGCTTGTTCTAAGGAGGTTGATAAGAGCAATCAGTGCATAGGGGCCAAGCGAAGAAAGTCTGGTTCAGTGAAAAGATTTAAACAGGATGCCACTACGAGTAACCCTACTATAAATCCGGATCTCACCCGTGATTTGATTACGTTAGACTCTTTTGGTGCAGTCTCGAGGTTAGGGACTGAGTATCCTGGTATGATGGAAAATGGGTTGTCCCAGAAAAGCAAGACGGAGGAGTTGAATATCACAAAGATCCTTAAGCCCATAAGCTTTTCGGCTTCCATATCAGACAACATTCAGGACGGGCTGGTGACCTTCATGGCACTGAGGTTTGTCAGTAGCTCCCGACTTAACCTTTCCTCGCTGTTTATGAGAATTGCTTCCTTGGCTGTGTGATCACACTTCTCCTGAGTTGTTGATGTTCTGTCACTGAACTGAATGTAATCTGTTTCTGCATTTTGTGAACAATCTTCATAATGTTTACCGGGTTTTAAAATCAGGAGGATGTTAGTCTATAACACCTTAATAAGCTTTTTAAGCTTTGCGTATCTATCTGCTTGATAGGGCTGATGGGAAAGAAGTGATGGTGGACAACAGATTTCTCAAGGCTCACAACCCTCTTCTGGTAATCTACTATCACTTGCTTTAGAGTTTTGTTCCGCATTTTTGCAGATACCTGATTGGAAGAGATCTCAAACTTGTATACTTATCCTGGAAAGGTTGTTTCTTTCTTTCTTCCTCTGCTTTGATGCCAGTTGATCGACTTCTATGAGCAACATCTCAAGTACAATCCTACTTCTTGATTCAGCCATAAATTTACAGGGCAAAAAAAAAAAAAGGGTAAGAATTGTCTGTACACAGCATTGTAATTCTGTAGGCAGACAAGATTAGTTTGCTTTGTTTTTTTCTCAAGAAGCGGTTTGTAGGGTAGGTTTCGATAGCACAGTGTCTAACGAGGTTCTTAAGATGGGCTTATCCGTAGATGTTATCAATCGTTTCATCGTCGAGGTTTGTGGAGATTTGTTGAACTACTTGTTCAAAGAGAAGGAAGTCTGTGAAGGGATCGAGGGGGAGGAACAGTAGTAGGATAGGTTTAGTTCCTCCAGATATGGAACTTCCACAAGAAAGGTCCCATTTGAGAATCCCAAGGACATTGGCTTTCAGATGTTCCACCTGGTTCTTTTTCCATCTCCAACTCCAACTGGGTTCTCTGTAAAAGAATCTGTTAAACGCTTTAGATGTAACACGTTTCTCTGCAGTGTTGAGTTTTGTAACGACTTCCTCCTCCCATCTTTGGGGGTCCATGTTTTAGATTGTGGAAACTCTGTTCCATGAATGCTCTGTTTGAGCCATACATGCATTAATACCATAGAAAGAGACATTGATGTCCTGTCTCTCATTATTGGCTTCTTATCTCAGTTGAGAGAGTTGGGAGGAGAAGAAGAAGAAAGAAACCATAAGAAGTGGGAGAGTGGTGAGAAAGCACATGCTTCTCTGCCTCAAAGCCACTCTCTCTCCTCCATCCTTCCTTCTTTGCGGCTCTCGTATTCTTTTTTTTTTTTATTATTTTAAATCCAATACCTTTTTATTATATTTTTGTCAAAATACCTTTTTATTATTATTATTATTATTATTATTATTATTATTATTATTATTTACCATTGTTATATATATATATATATATGTGTATACATAATTTTATAACATGTATTCATGTACAAGGTACTTATCTATGTGGAACTAGCCCTTCTGGTTTATAGTAAAAGTATGAGCAGCAAATCCATATAGTTTTTTTTTTTAATTTTATAAAATAGATAATTTTAAATTAAATCAAATTAATATAATTTTATAAAATCTAAAATTAAATAAAAAAAATTGATTTTCATCTAACACCGACGGTCGATTGTGTATGATTTTCATCAATAAAAAACGATATTTCGGAGAAAAAACATTAACAAAATTAAATAAAACATTAATTAAAAAAATAGGGACAGTTGGGATATGAAGTCAGGATTACACGTGTCTTGAATCGATTCGTTATTAGCAATATGAATCCGACTCATTAAAAAAAAAAAGCGTGGGGTTGCCTCCAGCTGTATTCACGTACCCATCCCTCTCTCATTTGCATATTTTTTATTTTTATTTTCGTTGGGCATTAATTAAAAATAGCATTGTATATTTATCTACACATTCATATTTCCCACCAAACTCTATTATCCGATCACATGGACTGTAGCTGTTACAATGTTTAAGTGGCTCCATATATTGTTTTCAGTCAACAAAACTAGTTAATCATTCTTTAATCATGCCCTCTATCTTACATAACATCATTGTTGTTTATTCTAGTAATTTTTAATTTATTTAAATATTAATGAACAAGTTATTTTCTCATTAATACATGATAGAACAGGTTAATTTTTCTTTAAAAAGTTTTAATTTTGGGACATTGAATTAGGGCAAAATTGGAAACCCTTTCTGCGTTTATATTCTCCCCCGTCAATTTCGTGGCGAATAACGCAATTTCCTTCGGATAGAATATATACTTACACACGTACTTAGAGAGAGAGAAGAATCCTTTTTGGGCTTCGCGAAGAAAATCCCGTCGTCGTCGTCGTCGTCTTCGTTTCATTCGACGAATATTACGTTCGTCTCCGTGATTTTTACAATTATTACTCGCATTTTCCCCCGAGATTTGAGAATTCTGTTTCTGGGGGGGGGGGGTTTTTTGGGGGGGGGGGGGGTTTCCTTTATTGTTTTGTTGATGGATAAAGAGGCAGATAATTGAGAAGTTGATTGATTTTGAAGCTCTGAATTTTCCTGGGAAAACCGTCAGATTCTCGAGAAAAATGCTTACGGGTTTTGACAGGTACGTATCGGAATTCTGGTGGGTTTTGCTCATTTCGGTAACTCTAGTAGCATGAAACATAGTCCATCTGTTGTCTGTTGGCCGCTTCATTGATTTCAGTTTCCTGTTCATTCTCTCTTCTTCTACGCATCATTGTCTGAATGTCTTTTTTTTTTTTTCCAAAAAAGTTTCATCTCTTTTTGCTTGAATCTTCTCTATGTCGGCCTGTTTGTTTTCCACTTTGACTTGCTTGCTGATATGTTACTTGGTCGGATTAGCTACTGTTTAGCTTGAATTCAGAGGAATTCTGTAAAAAAAATTGTGGGATTTTCTGTTCAAGGAATTCTGGTCTGTTAGGGTTCAAAGTTTCTTTCTTTCTTTTATCTTTTGTTGAAAAAAAAGGTTTCTTTCATTTGGCGGGGATGGAATGGCAGGAATTTAGCTTACCAGTGATCATCCGATCCACATGGGAAATGGCAAAAGCTACGAGCTTTGGTAAAATAAATTCAGTGATAAAAAAAAAGAGAAAATGGGAAGTGTCAAAAGTTCGTAAAAGTATTGCCTTGTGAGAATTTGGTTGGAAAGTGTATGACCCGAGTTCTCTTCGATTTTCAATTCTCTACCCTTTCTTGGCCTTGAAGTTGAAGAGTGGCACTAAAAAGAAGAGCATTCCAGTAGGATTCTTCCCATGATTCATGAAGAAATCTGGATATTCCTCTTGAAGGCAGGGGTATGCACAGAATCCTCTCTCCGGGGAAGATGATTGTTTGGCGTAAGCGTTAGGGCATTGAATTGAAGTGCTGTAAAAGGAAAATTTGTGTGATCATTCCTTATTAGAGGGGTTTCCAACCCATAGATTCGATTGCCTCTAAAGCAGAAAGTTCCATCTTCTGTCAGTGATGGATATCACTCAAGAAACCTCCTTCTGTCAGTTATCTCTGTTTGGTATTTTGCCATTTTTGTTTTCGGAGAAGATGTTGGGGCTGCATCTCTGGTTTCTGGTTGTAACATGTTCAAGATGATGTGGAATATGATCTAAACCTCATTCTGCTGTTCTGTCTGTTGTTTCGACAGGGGGTCTGGTCCAACCGCCTTGAAGAAACATTTTCGAGATTAATGGATCCTCAGGCTTTTGTTCGGCTTTCGGTAGGTTCACTCGGTTTGAGGATACCGAAAACCATCCCGAATTCCTCTTCAAAATCCGGGGTTGAGGCCCTCTCCTCTCAATGCTCGTGTGATATAAAGCTTCGGGGTTTTCCCGTTCAGACAACCTCAGTTCCTCTGGTGTTGTCGCCGGAAGCTAATCCTGATGGTCCAGCCATTGCCTCGAGCTTTTACCTTGAAGAGTCTGATTTAAGAGCGCTTCTTCTGACCCCTAGATGCTTCTTCTACAGCCCTCATTCTTGCTTGGAGATTGTTGTGTTCATTGGCAAACCGAGTTCATCACACTGTGGAGTTGGTGTGAAGAGACAGCAGATTGGGATATTTAAGTTGGAAGTGGGGCCTGAATGGGGAGAAGGCAAACCTGTGATTCTCTTCAATGGCTGGATCGGTATTGGCAAGAAGAACAGACATGACAAGACCAGGCCTGGACCAGAGCTTCACCTTCAGGTGAAGCTCGATCCTGATCCACGATATGTGTTTCAGTTCGAGGATGTTACCACACTTAGCCCTCAGATAGTTCAGCTCCGCAGCTCGGTCAAGCAACCCATTTTCAGCTGCAAGTTTAGTCGAGACAGGTGATGTTTGATTGTGCACCTTTTTTAGGTTTCAGGACATAGATAGATGCATTGTTTAGTTAACAAGTGCAATTATATATATATATATATATATATAAATAAGAATCGTGTTGTCGTATGTCTTAAAGCTAACTCTTTTGTTTCTGTAAGAATGTTCTCAACTTCTCATCAGAGTTTTCCACTTAGATTGATATCTTATGATGAAAAATTGTTCTTTTGGTTGATGGAATTATATAAATTAACCAGCTTTTGATACTCAAGTGTATAAATTGGATTTGGCAGGGTGTCACAGGCGGACCCACTAAGCGGATACTGGTCAAGTTCGGGCGATGGAACCGAGATCGAGACAGAAAGACGTGAACGGAAAGGATGGAAGGTGAAGATACACGACCTGTCTGGCTCTGCAGTGGCTGCAGCCTTCATAACAACACCCTTTGTCCCATCCAGCGGCTGTGATTGGGTGGCCAAGTCGAATCCAGGCGCATGGCTAGTGGTCCGGCCTGACCCATGTCAACCCGACAGCTGGCAGCCCTGGGGAAAGCTCGAGGCATGGCGGGAACGCGGTCTCCGGGATTCAATATGCTGCAGGTTTCACCTCCTGTCAAACGGGCAAGATATCGGGGATGTTTTGATGTCTGAGATTCTTATAAACGCAGAGAAAGGTGGGGAATTTTTCATAGACACAGACAGACAGATGCGTACCGTGGCGGCGGCGACAACGCCGGTTCCAAGCCCTCAGAGCAGCGGAGACTTTTCCGGGTTGGGACCATCCTTTGGATACGACAACTACTCATTGGACCGAGCGGTAGTAATAAACCAGTGGTGCAACTGGCCATGAGGCACATAACTTGTGTGGAAGATGCAGCAATCTTCATGGCCCTTGCTGCTGCGGTTGATCTTAGCATTCTGGCCTGTAAACCTTTCAGGAGGACGGCTCGGAGAAGGTTCCGCCACTATTCCTGGTGAAGAAGATGATGCCATGTAGCTTTGATTGAACAGGAGCCTTCTCCTTTCTTGCTTTCTTTGTACAGTTCTTTTTCTGGTTTTGATGCTGTCTTTGGATTTCTGACTTTGAAATGTTTCTGAAAATCTTCTAGAATCTCTAAGACTGAATCCAACAAAGATCATTCAGAGCAATCGTATCGAAAAAGTTCATGTTTTTCAACTTTTACCATCAAATCTCATGGTGAATTTCAAGTGTATTTTTTTGAATGTATTTGCTTTCTGAAATCACCAATAACAATGTTTGACAGAGTGAGCCTAATCCGCAAGGTGCTTGAGAAAGCTAAACACCTCAAGAAGCATCCTGGATATAACTGCATCATCGAAATCGATATAAAGCGTATCATCACAAAAGAAGGGTAAATTCCCAATGTGCGAGATGCAACACAGAATGACGAGGAGGAGATGAAATACAGGACTTCGATTGCTAAAACGTTAGATAACGTAACGTGAGTGATGATCGTTGATATACATAATCATGATATAAAATGTTAACAATGTAGTTTATATCATCATCCATATGACTCGTATAGAAGTATTACCTACTGACTTCCTTGGGATATATTACAAGTCGAAGGAGCCTCGGACGCCGTCTATGCTTTCACCAAGGGACAACCTGCCAAAAAGATTAACAAGGGATAGCCCTTTGAGTTCAGTTCGGCTATGTCTTTCTCACATTATCACTAATATACATAATGCTATCGTCAATTCTAAGAGAACACATGGCCGCAGGTACAAGGAAATTGAGTCATTATGATACCGAAACCAACAGCATTGTAAGAACTCACTCCAAACTACACAGAATTGGACACTTTATTATATGAGCTATACAAAGAGATGGAGACCCTAAAATTGCTCAGCAGCTCGAGAAAGTGTAGGTCAAGAATCTCCAGCTCCAATCGACAAATATTAAATTTGGGACTTACTTGTACATACAATACTTGTATTCTTGGCTTCTAATCAAATCTTTCTCGCCCTCTTCAAGCTGCAACATGGAAAAAGCGCGACCACATCAAACGATAGAAGAGAAAGAATCTACAAATGGGATCAATATAACAAAAGCCATCGTTTTATTGGCCTGACCGGGTCGCTCTCATAGATGAGCTCGTAGCAAGGCGGAGAAAGGCATCGCAAGGCACAGTTCTCCTTGGCTGTCGAGGAAGACTTGCACTGCCAACCCCACAATCCACTATTTCCATGGCAGCACAACCCAATTCATAAGAATGAAATTCATCCCATTCCAACAAAACAAGAAGGATAACCCAAAAGTTGCAAATTGAAATATAAATTCTGGCTTATAGAAAACAGCCTTAGCAATTATCCTCAAAGATCACATCTGCAGATTTGCGTTTTGCGTTTTGCAAATCCTCAAATAACCAAAAAATCCATTTGCAAGCTTCAGCATCCAAATCAGAACAGCTAGAAGGATGCTAAGAGACAACTCATCCAGGGAGCTCATAGCTTGGAATACTAACACAAGTTACAACGATATCATTATCATCCCAATAACACCATGAAATTTTCTCAATCTTCCTATATACAAGCATCAAAGAAAACCATAGGAGGTGAGCGCAAATCAAATGAAAGTTCGATCTCGCTAACCTCTATTCAGAGACAACACTTTGGCCGAGTTCACATCAAGAACAAGAAACCAAAAATAAAAAAAAACGGTTTACATGGAAAAACAAGGGAAGAGAATTCGAGGGAAACGACACAGAAAAGGAAGAGGAGATTAGCTATCGCCACGACTCACCTCTCTATATCAGCGTAACACTCGTTCTTCTTCTGCCTGATCTCTTCGTCCTGCATAATTGGTGTTACCCAAAAAAAAAAAAAAAGAGAGAGAGAGAGAGAGATAAAATCAGCACCACTATTCCAGTGAAACTTTAATCTGAATAGAAAAACAAACAAAGGAAAACAAAAGACGAGAACAGGGAGAGCGAGTCGAAGCTTACGGAGATCGGACGAGATTTGGACAAAACACTGGGGACAAAAGACAAGGAGAGGAACAGAAGAAAGCAAAAGACGAAGACAGAGCTCGAAGGAGCTCTGGAAGTTTCCATGGTGCTTGAATCTACTGTTCTACCACAAAGGAAAAAACGATAAGCGCCCCTCTGTTGATCGCCGGTTACAAGAAGGAGCGACTGATTTTTTACTAAAATGCGCATTCTTCAATGCCATTGTACGTTGATACCACCAAGTCAAACAAAAAAAAACGACTTTGGGCTTTTGAGTCGCCTTCTTGGATATGGATACGACAACTACTCATTGGACCCAACTGTAGACTTGGGCTCTAAAAATCAGGCCCATTATAACCATGGGCCCACTGTAATGACAATATATATACACGCACATACTTACACAGGTGCATATATTAAGGGCATTTGTTACGTGCTTTATTTGTAACTTTATTCTCATAATTAAATGAGAGGTATATATATATATAGGGCTTGCAGTACACGGAGTCAAAGATTTGACTTTGGATTCATTATGTAGAGTTGTTGTTCTGAATGGAAAAAACTTCGATTTGATGGTAATCTCTCCAGACCGACACACGGCTTCAAATGACGTGTTGAAGCACTAGACCAAAAAAAAAACACCACAGGAAAAGGAACTAACATTTCCGACCATTTGGAAAAAGCTATGTTGTCCCAGAAGAGAGTAGAGCAATGACAACGACAGTCTTTCTCCTCTCCCTCTTTCCGGTCTCTAGAGAGATTTTGTCATTTCTTTCGGAAGAGGGAACTTACTGCTCGCACCGAAGATGCTTGCCATCTGAAACACCGTGCTTTGAATTGCAGGCTCTGTCGGTAGGAGCGAGTCCGGGAGAGCAGGAGAGCACTCCGGTTGATTTTGTGTCTTGTCTGCGTTCGGAGCGTATAGCATCAACACAGCCCGACAGAACAAGAATCTGCACAAGTGGCGAAACCGGGAAAATATCTTAAATATATGATCTCTGCGTATTCAAATGTTTTCCTGCTCAAAATATAGAAGGGCAGTACGAATATCCAGAAAACCCGATACTAGGCTATGCATATTGGCATCATGCTTCGAGCCTCCAGGGGGAAAAATTGATTCCGTAATATGCATACTTTGATTATTCACTCAGTGGCAGCAGAGAGAGGACATCGCTTCGTTACAGATCTATTCATATAGAATGGCCGTTCCAGTCTAGCTTCTACCACTAAATCAAGTTAGTGCTCCTCACTAATCTACGTTCTTTTCCTCTTCATTGATATAGTACTCGCCAAAGTACTGATACCGGCATTTTTGAATACGGAAAAGCGGTAGAAGACTAATATATCATACCTTAGAAGAAGTCGTCTCAAGAAGGGATCTTTTAGTATCTGCACCCAAACTGGATGGAGAGTGTCTGATGTTGCCAGAGTAGAACCCCACTCATTCATGGATAAGGAAAGCAGCTTCTCCGCCTTGTCCTAATAACCCTCCTTAATCAGTATATATACAGATAAAGAACTGAACAGAATATGGGACAACCGGTTTTTTCACGTACCATTTCTACATCAGGCCCAGAAATGCCAATTACCAAACAAAATGCTTGGATTGGAGCTGTGAGGAAAATGGTGAAAAGGCTACCGCTAGGATGACGAGACATATCAGCAGAGGTAAGGGGAGGAGCATAGGTTGGAGACAGTAGCAATGCAGCTGGCTCTCCTTTCTCAGCTCCGCTAATACTCTTCAAATTTTGAGCAAGAAAATATTAACCTTCTCGATTATATGACAAGAAATGTGAACGTTTCGTAACACATAAGTACATACTTTACCCAGCAGTTAAAAGTGAATCTAAACAGATGACAGATGGAATTGGTTGTACTTGCCTTAAAAGATGCACTGCTTTCACTATCGATGACTATGAAAAGAGGCCTCCTTGTGAATGGAACTAAATCAGAGGGATAAACGCAACTCGGTCCTGGGGCAAAAAAATAAGTTGTATTTAATTGAGCATTCTATTGGACAATGGCGAGGAGTAACGTAGGGAAAATGAATTACCGGAAAGACCTATAAACAACACAGTCATGATAAACTATATGCTAATATGAATATGATAATATCAGATGAATATCAACGAGAGGGTTTCAATAGTTGTGGAGAGGGCACCTTCACGACCATGACTACCTAGAAACAAACCACATGGTGAACTGACTGAGGAGTCCCCATTGTTTTCTCTTAAAGACTGGTTGGATCCATCATCTGCTGAAACTATTGGAGGTGAAGGGGCTCCACCTTGATTGATGGTATGAGATTCAAAGTTTCTAATGATATTCTCCTCCATGCCACTGGCAATTCCAACACCCAAAGGAGAAGATGAAGTCCGTCCAACCTTTCCTGAAAAGAAAATATATATTGAAGAAGTAAAGGAACTCAATATTTCAACGGAAGAAGAATAAGCAAAGGGAATTCAATATTTTGAAGGCAGAAGAATAAAACCCGCCCTAAGAAAAACGTGGTTACCTGAAGCGGACAAATATATTAAGAGGACACCATGAGAAGGAAGTTCCTCACAAGTCGTGGCCAAAACCTGAAAAAAGTAGCAGGATTACATGTATTCGAATTATAAGGGACCATTTATTGGAAAAATGAAAACATGTATCTTCGAAAAATTCTACCAGGCAGAAGAAACGCGAGTTTGAGATTTCAATTACTTTACAACTAAATATCTCACAGTAAAAGTTGTTGCAATGATTTTTCAGAAAATGCTGCTAAAATAGGCCTACTGTAGGGTAAAACAAAACAGGCTTACAGTAGCAAGAAAGTAATAAGGACATAGAACTCGAGCATAGGTTAAAAATTTAGATAGCAGTAAGTTGGACCTAGCAAGATTCTTTAGCGTAAACAAACCACGAAGAAAGGAATTAGCTGAGTAAAACTAAAGTCAAACTCACAGCTAAGAAATTTGTCACGGATGGACGATACAGGACAGCTTTGCGAGGGTTGGGTGGCAAAGTAGGATCAGTAATGTTCTGTGGGTGTGCACGAGCAGCAGGTCCTGTGTATCCACACTGCGCCATTTTAGCACCAGTTGACTGATAAAATGAACCACTAGGTTCCCACTCTAAACACTGAAGCATCCTGAAGGCATCAAGCGTAAGCTCCGAATACTTGACCTGATGGAAAACATACAGCAGATATAACGAATTTCAGAAAAAAATGATAATTTAATATATAGACTTATACTAGACAAGGGTAGGAAAAAATCGTATACCTAACCTCGTTATAATGATAGCTGCTCAATATTGCGTCAGTCAACCTTAATGACCTGCCTGCAAGCGGTGTACCAGCATGCTGGAGAAAATCCAAGTTAGGGTCCAGAACAAGACTGTATCTTAGAGGCCTGACGTTCATAAAAGCTGTGTCAGCTTTCAAAAATCTAGCTATTTCTTGCACCACCAGCTTCCATTCTTTAAAGTCAGTTTCCTGAAAACAAGAAAAGCTGTTTAAGAACTAGAACAAGTAAAACAAAAAAGGTAAAAAAAAAATAAGAAGCACAGAAAAGAAGACATCAAGATTCACTAATAGACAGGAATCTTAGGTCATCATATCTACCAAGCCGCATGAAATGGTACCTTTGAAGGAGCTAAGCGAATACAATGAACCAAATATTTTTAAGATATCAAACCGCTCTCTTCAGGGCTTTGACCAAAGCTTTTCATGCGAGGGAATCTAAACTTGGAAAATAAAGATCACATAGCAGAAGAAAGAAAAAGTAACAGAACCACAGGAATACAAATATCATTATAATGGCTAATTCAAAACAGCATACAATGCAACTGACCACCAAAGGTCACATGGTTTAAAGCTAAGGGAAAAGAAAGCAACCCATATTAGAAGATTGGTGTCGAGAACAAACCTGGAATGTCCTTCTGCAATCATCTATCAACCGTTTAAACTGATCAACCAATTGATGTACCATCTCTCGCCGGCCTAGGACCAAACACACCATCAGAAACCTTGCAAAAAAGCGTAGCTGTTTGTTTGCAATATTGAGATCCTGAAACAATCCCTCTCTGAAGTACTCCCTAGTTAGTATTGCTTCGTAGAATATGTATGACTCGGATAAGTAACCAGCATCACTTGTTCTCATATAGTGCCCATAATAAAGCTGTGCAATTCGAGACGCAATTTCTCCAATCTCCCACCTCTTAAGCCCAGCTTCAACAAGCTTCTGCCGATTTTCTTGCTGAAACTTCCATAATTCGGTATACACCTTGAATACCTTATAGAAATAAGTTTCATACCTATAACACAATGAAAACAATGCCTCCAAGTTACATAAAAATGCAATGTATAAGCATCGGAAATATCAAGAACATCGATTATTTGATCATCCGCTCGTTTTCTACCAAACACTATTTTGAAAGCCTTTCCGGCTCCACCACTGAGAACGGATCATGAAATTGCTCCTAACAAAAATGAAACACACACCGACCAAGTGTATTGCATGAATCCTGTGAAATCAAGCCGCGACAGGGGACTATGTAACTCAAGCGAATTCAAACTATACATATTTTATGTACATTTCTCCGTCAACCCAAATTGCATCACCTTAGATCATAAAAAAACCCAAGAAGTAAAGTAAAAAGACTACAGAGTCAAATTCCGATTATCCCCAAACTTTCTCGGCACCCGAACAGAAAACTCCAGGAGAAAGCAATCGACCACGGAGAAGTCGTACCTGCTGCGTTCGTAGAACGGCAAGTCTCTGATCTTGGAGAACTTCTTGTCCGCTTTGTTAACGAGAGACCAGTAAACTTCGCTCAACGGAAGAATATTGCTGGAACTGTTGCCGCTGATTTGCTGCGACATTCTTCTTCTTCTCCTTCTTCCTCGAGCTGAGAAAATTCCCTTTGCAACACCGGAATCTCTCTGACCTAGAATTCTACTGATCGGATTTTCGGTCGTCGAGATCGAGACGGAGGTTGAAGAATGTGACGGCTCAGTGGTTGACGGAGGAACTCCGCCGGTGGATCAGAGAGTTGGAGAAATTACGGGAATTTATATAATTTATACATTATTAGTTTTTTTAAGCACTTCCTAGTTCCTTCCTCCCCGACATTTTTAACAAAATGCAGAACCACCCCAAGACTTTATAATATAAAAAGCGGTCCCAATTCTTTCCTGTTTGGGCTTCACTACTAACTATGAGATGGGCCGGATATAAAGCCCATTTACTATATACAATGGGCATTCTATCTATGTCCATCAAAGACAATACTAACATTAGTAAGCTAAACATACGATAATATGTGGTCCAACATGAGAACAGCACCAAAGGATGTTCGATATAATTTAAATTAGAAATATACATAATGGACCCCATTATTAAACTTTATATATATATATATATATATATAGAATCTTATCTCGCAAATGGTATATCTTTCTCCCTTGTTAATGATTAAAAAATATAACTTTCTTTATTCCTTTGGATTCGTACAGCTCAGATTAGAGACACCTAACCTAATGGTGGGACACTCTGTCGTGTACTGTGCATAATTAATTAGTTACTCGATAATACTAATTGTTTATTTAAATTATTAAATTGAAAGAACATGGTAATTATAACGTGGAAATTAGTTGTACATCCATATCCCTATTTCCAGTCAACACTTCCTAATATACTTAAATATAGGTTGGGGTTAAAAAAAATTAATCACAAATTGTCTTTAAAATAGTCAATAAAATTCATTTTGAATTCCGAAATGGAGGACCATAATTCACGTTCCATTTTAAAAAATAATCATTTCAAAAAGTAAAATCCAAGAGGTTCTATGAATTAATGTTCTTGATTTATTTCCAAAAAATATTTCGGGAAATATATTGAAAATTCAAGGATACCTATTGCGACAAAACTCCAGTTTTGTAACAAATTTCCTTAAATATATGTTTCTATAAGCGTGATAAACGACTAATAACATCTCATATCAAATTATCAATAAATCTTGCAGAGATCTTGTCAGTAAAATCTGCAAAACTAAGAACTAACAAAAAGGGAAAACGCGTAAATGTAAAAGACCAATCATTTCTTAAACGACGCGGTCTAATTAAGACCACTAGGATTTGGATGAACTACTTTTGGTCTATAATATCTTTATATTATTTAATTTTCTGAACGTTTTAAGAATGACTAAATTGAAATCCCTCACCAGTGACAAAAAAAAAAGCATTTAAAATTACGTATTTTCTTGTTAAAAGAATAAATAAATTATAAATAAATAAATAATCAAGACTGATCATTATCATCAGTACATTATAAACAATCATTTCGTCGGACAATAATTAGCACGAAGACAGAAAGAGAGAGAAGAGTGAGAAGGAGAGAGAGAGAGAGAGAGAAGACTCAGACAATGGTGGAGGAGACCAGCTCCGGCGATTCATCATCATGTCCGATCAAAACCGTCGTCGTTTTGGTACAGGAGAACCGGTCCTTCGACCACATGCTGGGTTGGTTTAAGGAGCTAAACCCGGAAATCGACGGAGTAACCGAGTCTGAACCGAAATCGAACCCGGTTTCCACATCGGACCCAAACTCCGCTCAGATCTTCTTCGGCAAAGATTCCCAGATCATCGATCCCGATCCCGGTCACTCCTTCCAGGTACTTCCTTCTTTAACCGGTTCCGGTACAGATCCGATCCGGTTTTCCCGATTTTTGGTTACAACAATTAATGTCCTAATAGATTCAATCATTCAACTCTCTTTTTCTGGTTTACATGTACGTGTGCGTGGGTTTATGTAGATTGGATTATTATGTAATAGCTTCTCGGAACCGAAATACCGGTTTTATTTAACACGTATGTATGCCGTATAGACAACCGGTTTTAATTACCGAGTACTTAATCTCCGGTTTAGTATCGAACCGGTGGGTATAACATGGTTTGGTGGGAGCAGGCGATCTACGAGCAAGTGTTCGGGAAACCGTTCAGCCCGGAGTATCCGTACCCGGAGGCGAAGATGAACGGGTTCGTGCAAAATGCGGAGGCGATAACACCGGGAATGGCGGAGAAGGTGGTGATGCAGGGTTTTCCGCCGGAAAAGTTACCGGTTTTCATGGAGCTGGTGAAGGAGTTCGGCGTCTGTGACCGGTGGTTCTCGTCGTTGCCTTCGTCGACGCAACCCAACCGCCTCTTCGTCCACTCGGCCACTTCCCACGGAGCTTTTAGCAACGACACGAACAAGCTCGTTAACGGGTTCCCTCAGAAAACTGTCTTTGAATCTCTTGAAGAGAGTGGCTTCAGTTTCGGGATTTATTATCAGTCTTTTCCAAACTGTCTCTTCTACAGGTTACTTCCCTTTGATCTCATGATTAGGGTTTGACCATAGCTCAGACGTGGATTCCATTACATATCTGATCATTTTTCTTGCAAACTCTTTTCCATGCCATTTTTCTGAAACATGGAGCAGAAACCTTAGGAAGCTGAAGTACGTAGACAACTTCCATCAGTACAGCCTAAGCTTCAAGAGGCATTGCAAAGAAGGCAAACTCCCGAACTACGTGGTGATCGAGCCACGCTACTTCAAGGTCGTGTCGGCTCCAGCCAACGACGACCACCCCAAGAACGATGTCCGAGAAGGCCAAAAGCTCGTCAAGGAGATCTACGAGGCTTTGCGAGCCAGTCCGCAATGGAACGAGACCCTTTTCGTCGTCGTTTATGACGAACACGGCGGCTACTATGACCACGTCCCTACGCCCATCAATGGTGTCCCTAATCCTGACGGTTTGGTCGGACCCGAGCCGTACAACTTCAAGTTCGATCGGCTTGGTGTTCGAGTCCCGGTCTTACTAATCTCACCTTGGATTCAGCCTGGAACCGGTACGTCACCGTGGTACATAAGCAAGATGCATGTAAATCTTGGACGTGTATATATATACACATTTAATGTATTGATGGTATATATACGTGTAGTGTTACACGAGCCGTTGGGGCCAGAGCCGACGTCTCAGTTCGAGCATTCTTCAATTCCCGCGACATTGAAGAAGATATTCAACCTCAAGAGCTTCCTCACAAAGCGTGACGCTTGGGCCGGAACGTTTGAATCTGTCATCAACAAGACTAGTCCAAGGACTGATTGTCCAGGTACATTAATTTATACAAAATGTTAAGACATATAGTTTTGATATAGTAAAATGTAAAGTTACAAACTTTAGTTCATCATATTTCGGTCATATATATCTACAGTTACACTGCCTGAACCTCCAAGGGACAGAGATCTTGATGTTGGAACGCAGGAAGAGGACGAAGAACTAACCGAGTTTCAGACAGAACTGATTCAAGCGGCTGCTGTTTTGAAAGGTGATCACATCAAAGATATTTATCCGTTCAAGATCGTCGAGAACATGAAAGTCTTAGACGGTGCAAAGTATGTCGAAGAAGCTTTCACAAGTTTCTACGACGAGTCGAGAAAGGCTAAAGAGAGAGGAGTTCATGAGCATGATATCGTCGATCTTGCCAAACATGGAGGTACTCGTAGTTCGAATCCGAAATCTTTAATCGAGAAGCTGTTTTCTTGTTTAATCTGTGATAATTAAATAGAGGATTCTAATTCAAGATTGTGACATTCCATGCTTTGTCTGGTTTTGATGTTAAGGTTTATGCTGTGTTTATGATCAACCTCTTACTTGTCTCATATACGCTCACTGATATACATATATATATACACACACACACGGATACCTCTTATATAACATGATGCCCATAATTGTTAACTGATTTGATTATCTGATAATCAAGAAAATAAAATATACCGATAATGTAGGAATCTTTACTTGTGATGAAACTTCTTCTTCTTCTTCTTGACATGGCAAGTGCATGCATCTACTGAAGACATGCAACCAAACTTCCTCTTCACTTCTACCCAAATGCTCATCTTCTTTGATCTCTTCTTCCCACTATGGATAAGACATCCTCTGTCTGTCTCATTCCTCCTGTAATCACTCTCCTGTTCCTCATCGCCATTGATGTCCCCTGAAAACTCTATGTCTTCTTCTTCTTCTTCATCTCCCTCCTTTGATTTCTGTTCCATACCTTTCATTTCTTTAGCCAACGATTTCACGTATCTGCAGCTGTGACGCGAACAATACCTGAACAACGATTCTCAACGGAAGCTTCTCGTTCTTGGAGGCGTGTTCGCAAGCCTCTGGTTACAGTTTCTGGCAGTCAAGAACTTTACACGCCTCGAGCCTCTCGGATTCCGTCAAGTGTTTGTGACTTTCCAAGAAAATGTCGATCGCCCTGTATATTCTGTCAGCGTATCTCAGTAACGATGCAGCCACAGCCATTGATAGCTCGGCTCAGGACACGAATGTTTGAACTCTCAGGCCGACATCCCTTGCTGCCTCGGCCAGGAACTCTTCCACTATTTTCGCTACTTTGACAAAACCCGATGTATCATCGTGGTTACTGTAAAAGTTCTTCAGAGCTCTTCTCACCAGCTCGGCATCGTACTCGTTCTCTTTGGGTATCCGTTTGATATAATCAGAAGGTCTTTTGCTGTAGCCATGTCTAGCTGTTTCCCAACCTTAACCTCGAAGCCGTCTCTGCAACTAGAGCTTGCTTCTAGCAAGATTGACTGTTTTAGCAATTCAGACAAGAACGTACAAGGAACGGCTTCTCTCTGGTGAGGCAGGAGCTGCTCCACGGCTTCAATTGCTTTTCTATGGCATTCTCTCTTGGGGAAAGAAAAGTTTTTATCCCCTGAAATTTCCTCGAAAACCCATCTCTTTGCGTATTTGCAGATCGATGAAACGAGATTTTCCGTGGGAACGTTCTGTGCATCCATTGCACGAATCAATGATTCGTATAACTGAAGCGGTACAGTGATCAGATCTTCTGATTTCCTGTCAAGAACGAACAGTCGTCTTCTCGGGTTAGGCCTGTAATCATCGCCTTCCTTTTCTTCCTCGGCCTCACAGTTGTTGTTTCTGATTGGCTCACCCAAAAGCCTTGGATCGTTCACAGCCATTTCGACGAGAGATTCCAAGAAGACATTAAGAAGTCCAATTTCCTCTACTTGGCTCAAAGAGATTTCACAGTCTCGTTCCAAGAACGCCGCTGCCTTGTTCAACAAGTTATCCGAACCGTGTTGGTCGTTCATCCCGAGACAATACGCAAGGCAGATGACAGGCACGATGTCGTCATAGGAAAACTGAACTTCATAGCCATAGCAGAGCCTTGCGATGAGCTGAAACGTTCCCGGGTCAGTGTCCAGGACTCTGAGCAGCAAACTGAGTTCTTCAAGCGCGTTTTGCTCGAGCAACTCGGTGACTTTAGCTGATTTCTTGGTCAAAATATTACTTCAGATTGAAATGGCGAGTGTTATTAAAAAAAATATTATTATTACTAACATTTGCTTTTGAAAGATGTGACGTCTCATAAAATAAGCAAAATCATAATTAAATTGGTTGGAGGAATTACATACAGCTAAAATCCTCCGAATCCACTCAATCAACTATTAAAAAAATAGAAAAAATGTTGCTTCTATTTTTATTTATGTATAGAAACCGGAGTTTTCAAATGGATACTTAGGAGACTAATATCAGTATCTCTATATATATTTAGGAGACTAATCCTATATGTGAGATGATTGGATCGAGGCCAATTCGCATGAAGCCAAGCGTAAAAACAAAACAAGAAAACCAAAGGAAAATGCATTCGCACACGTAAATTGAGTTTTTTGGACAAGTGTTGGGTATGCGTGACCATTTTTGGTTTTGATTCGGTTTTTAATTATTTCGATTATAGAAAAATTATAACCTTTGGGTTTTTATATAAACTTTATTTCTTTTCGATTTCGGTAAATGATTCATTTTTTTAAATAAATTGTTGGTTTTTTCATTTATTTTTTAAATCGCTTCGATTTTAGTTTTTGTAAATTTAAAGAAATTATAACCGTTTGATATGGGATTATACAATTATGTCTTGTTCCATTTCTACGGTTCGGTTATTCCGTAAATAATTGAAACTGCCAAGGGCACTTTCCTGTTTGCCAAGTGGTCCATCCTTAGGTCGAGAACGTTCGAATTGACACGTCACCACATTGCGTACGATGTTCTCTCTCTATTCAGGACCCGTTTCTTGGTTGGTCCACTTGGGTTCACCTGAGAAAAATCATTTACGAAAAAAATCAAAACTTCCATAAAGAGAGAGGGCACGAGATCATAATTTAGTAGCAATCGAAATGGAGATAATCACCATCCTCTCCATCGTCTTCCTCTCTCTTTGCTTCTCCCTGACCCTGAAACTCTTCTTCTTCAGGCCTGCCCACGAACTCCCTCCGGGCCCACCTCGTTTTCCGGTCATCGGAAACATCCAATGGCTCAAGAAGAACAGCTTCTCCGACTTCCAAGGCGTTCTCCGTGACCTCACCGCCCGCCACGGACCAATCATCTGTCTCCACGTGGGCTCCAAGCCCTCCATCTGGGTCTCCGACAGGTTCCTCGCCCACGAGGCCCTTGTCCAAAACGGCTCCATCTTCTCCGACCGTCCTCGGGCTCCTCCCACCACGAGGGTCATCACCGCCGACCAACACGACATCCACTCCGCCTTCTATGGCCCACTCTGGAGGACTCTCCGGCGGAATCTCACGTCGGAGATTCTACAGCCCTCGCGCGTGAGATCCCACGCGCCGTCGAGGAAGTGGGCTTTCGAGATCCTCGTCGAACTCCTCAAGGCGGAACAGAAGGAGAAGGGACAGGTTTTTTGCGTTTCTCTGTCTTCCTACCAACTTCGATTCACCCGCTCTGATCTGCTAAAATTCTCCGATTTGTTCCGTCGTAGGTTTCCGATGTCCTCGGGCATCTCCGGCACGCGATGTTCTGCCTGCTGGCCCTCATGTGTTTCGGAGAGAAGCTGGGACGGGAAGAGATCAAAGAGATAGAAGAAGCTCAGTACCAAATGCTTATGAGCTACGCCAAATTCAGCGTTCTCAACATTTTCCCAAGCGTCACCAAGTTCTTGCTCCGGAAAAAATGGCGGCAGTTCTTGAACCTCCGCAAATCCCAGGAAGACGTCATCCTCCGTTTCGTGAATGATCGGAGGAAAGATTCGGGCGAAGTTCTCTGCTACGCGGATACGTTGATGGGTCTGGAGATTCCGGAGGAGGAGAAGAAGAGGAAGCTGAAGGGGTCGGAGATTGTGAGTTTGTGCTCGGAGTTTCTGAACGCAGGGACGGATCCGACGGCGACGGCGATACAGTGGATAATGGCGAACATGGTAAAGTACCCGGAGATACAGAGGAAGGTGTACGAGGAGATGAAGAGTGTTGTCGGAGAAAAGGAGATGGAGGAAGAAGACCTGAGCAGACTGGTTTATCTGAAAGCTGTGGTTTTGGAGAGTTTGAGGAGACATCCTCCGGGACATTACCTGTCTTACCATCGTGCCACCCACGACACCGTCTTGGGCGGACTCCTCGTTCCACGTGACGGTAACTGTTCCTCTCACTTGTGGCAGTATTTGAGTTGATCCTCTGTACAAAGAGAACTGACTCATTGCGTCTTTTTGGATAGGTACTATCAACTTCATGGTAGGAGAAATGGGTAGGGACCCGAAAGTGTGGGAAGATCCCATGGAGTTTAAGCCGGAGAGGTTCATAGAGAAAGGCGAAGTTCAGGCGTATGATATGACGGGAAGCCGCGAGATCAAGATGATGCCGTTCGGGGCGGGACGAAGGATATGTCCCGGTTATGGCCTCGCATTACTTCACCTTGAATACTTTGTGGCCAATTTGGTATGGAGGTTTGAATGGAAATGCTTGGAAGGTGAAGAGGTGGACTTGTCTGAGAAGCAGCAGTTCATCACCATGGTCATGAAACATCCTTTCCGAGCTACCATTCATCCTAGGAATGATAATAACTAATTAGCTGTGTATGTTGATGATGATGATGTGACCATATCATGTGTAATCTAATAATGTACTTTTACTAGTTTAATATTGTGAAATCTACTTCCTCTAATAGGGTATGGTAATCTAATGTACTTTTAACTAGATGTTCTGTCTTCTCTGTTTAGTACACAAGTAGTGATCACGTGTGCTTAACCTCACCGTATCTATACAATCTGCAACTGAAACTGGAGATACTACGTATTTCTACGGTCGGAATTCAACATTTGTAATGAATTATTTAATAATAATTAAATGTTTTTATGTGAGAGAAAAATTAAATGTTTGGAGATAAAGTCTTCAAACGAATTCTCGGAATTGGGAAAAAGTGAAACTACAATAATTGCTTATCTCTGAAACTCTCCAGGTTTCTCTCTCTCTCTCTCTCTCTCGTTGTATAAATAAAGTTCCATTTTCGATTCTCGTTAGTTTTCCTCAGATTGTCTCCCGAAAACTCACAACACTCCCATGAAGAAGAAGAAGAAGTAAACTTGTTCACTTTCAACTCCTCTCCCGTAAATGAAGAGCTGAAACAAAAAAAAAAAGATGAAGAGAGGACATGTAGAGTCGTGGGACCCTTCATCGGGAGAAGGTCATTCAATGGTGGACAAAGGTAAGAACCCGGTTTCGGTTTCGCCCGATGAAGGAGGAGCAGACAACATGGATGAGCTTTTCGCGGTTATGGGTTACAAAGTCCGGCCTTTAGACATGACCGGAGTCGCTCAGAAGCTCCAACAGCTCGAGATGGACTTGACTCATGATGACGTCACCTCCGGTTCCCTCAACGACACCGTTCACTACAACCCTTCCGAACTCTCCCGCTGGGTCGAGGACATGCTCGAGTCCGACGATCCCACTGATCTCGACCCGACCCGACTCGGAATCTGCGGCGACGGATCCGAACAGGACCTCTGGGCAATCCCGGGTATGTCGGCATACCCGGCGGATGGGCCGGAGGACGAGAATCAGAGCAAGAGGATGAGACTAGAGCCCTGGTACGACCCACTGACCGGGTTTGATCGGCCGGTGGTGGTCGCTCAGTCGCCGGAGGCCGGAGTCAGACTGGTCCATACGCTCGTGGCGTGCGCCGGTTCAGCTGGGGAACATTGAACTTGCGGATGCGCTGGTGAAGCGCGTGGGTCTACTCGCAGCCTCTCAGGCTGGGGCGATGGGGAAAGTGGCCACGTACTTCACCGAAGCCTTGGCCCGGAGAATATATCGAATATTCCCCGGCGACTCACACGACGACGTTTTGAAGATGCATTTCCACGAGCCTTCTTGCCCTTACCTCAAATTCGCCCACCTCACCGCCAACCAAGCCATTCTCGAGGCCCTCTCGGAGGCGCGTGAAGTTCACGTCATCGACCTCGGGCTCCGACAAGGCATGCAGTGGCCGGCTCTGATGCAAGCCTTGGCCCTCCGCGACGGCGGCCCCCCGTCGTTTCATCCCCCCGCCGTCGGACCACCGCCGTCAGAGACCTTCGACGGGGTTCATCAAGTTGGTCGGAAGCTCGCTCGGTATGCCGACAATATTGGGGTCGAATTCGAGTTCAAGGGCTTGGTTGTCGACAGTTTGTCGGATCTCGAACCCGATATGTTCGAGACCCGACCTGAATCCGAGATCCTCGTGGTGAATTCCGTGTTCGGGCTCCACCCACTTCTGGCCCGACCCGGCTCGATCGAGAAAGTCCTCGCGGCTATGAAGAAGCTTAGGCCGGATATCATGACGGTGGTGGAGCAGGAGGCGAACCACAACGGCGTCGTTTTCCTGGATAGGTTCAACGAAGCGCTTCACTACTACTCGAGCCTGTTCGACTCGCTCGAGAGCAGCGTGCTGAGTCAGGACCGAGTCATGTCTGAGGTGTACCTCGGGAGACAGATCGTGAACGTGGTTCAAGGGCTTGGTTGTCGACAGTTTGTCGGATCTCGAACCCGATATGTTCGAGACCCGACCTGAATCCGAGATCCTCGTGGTGAATTCCGTGTTCGGGCTCCACCCACTTCTGGCCCGACCCGGCTCGATCGAGAAAGTCCTCGCGGCTATGAAGAAGCTTAGGCCGGATATCATGACGGTGGTGGAGCAGGAGGCGAACCACAACGGCGTCGTTTTCCTGGATAGGTTCAACGAAGCGCTTCACTACTACTCGAGCCTGTTCGACTCGCTCGAGAGCAGCGTGCTGAGTCAGGACCGAGTCATGTCTGAGGTGTACCTCGGGAGACAGATCGTGAACGTGGTTGGGGCCGGGGGCGGTGACCGAATCGAGCGGCACGAGACGCTGACTCAGTGGCGGACCCGGATGAGATCGGCCGGGTTCGTCCCGGTTCACCTCGGGTCGAACGTGTTCAAGCAAGCGAGTATGCTTCTGGCGATCTTCGGTGGCGGCGGCAATGGCTACAGAGTGGAGGACAACCACGGATGTATCATGGTCGGGTGGCACACGCGGTCGCTCATCTCCACCTCGGCTTGGAAACTCGGTGAGTCGCTGTAATGAGTCAACTCGGAAGAGGAATGACAGTCAGAAAGAGTAGTAAGTAGTTTTGCTTTAACATACCTCGGTAGATTTGTTTTTACAGTTTGAGCCCCAAAGAGTAGTAAGTAGTTTTGCTTTAACATACCCCAGTAGATTTGTTTTTACAGTTTGAGCCCCAATAACTTGTTTTATCGTTTTCTAAACGCAGTAGTCGTCGTAAAAGAGAGACGTGTAAGTCAGTTATTAAATGGAAGGAATAATAATAATCATAATGGTATATGCTCTGAATGCATAAATTTGGACCGACTCGAATGAAACGTCGGCAAATAACTGGCTCTGCGAGTAAATCATATCAGCACCATTCATCTCTCGTATCGTAATGTAATGTTGCAAAACAAACAAATGCACTGAACTGCTTTCGTCTATGGCTACGTAACTCTTTTTGTTTGGTTATAGATAATGTGAATTTCCCCCTTTTTTTACGACTTCCAATAAGATATATACATATATATGGAGGCTTCTTGAGTGTATGCAAAGCTTTCTCTTTATATCATCAACACTGTATTTGTTTGTGAAACGAATCCCTCGAACCAGACAAGGCCCCGTACATTTAACCACTTCCTTCACTTTGATTAAGGGCTAAGCCTCCTGCTGTTGGCAAGAGGGGAGTGGGAGGGAGGGAAGGTCTTACTACCTCTTAGACGAGGCCTCGTACGTTGGCTCGTTCTTCTTCTCGAGAGCCCCTCGAAGCTCTTCTCCATGCTCACTCTCACCATCTCCTCCACCATCTTCTTCGCCTTTCCCTCTCCCTCTTCTATCCGACACATTATGTTCGTCACTATGCTTTCCATTTTCTCTGTCTGTAGCTCCGATCTCTCGTTCTCCTCCCTCAGCAGACACAACAGTCTCTGCGCCCTTGTCTGACATTTCGCCGTCCCTTGTACTGTCAGCTCCAGCAGTCCCGGTATCACACCTTCTCTTAGAATCACCTCCCTGTATTTACTTCTATCGCTCTCGCACATCGTCAAAAGGGCCCCCACCGCGTGTTCCCTGCCTTGTGGAGACCCGTTCTCGAGAATCTCCACTACCGCAAATACTCCTCCTTCGGAAAATGTCAATTCTGTTCTTCCCTCTTCCGAACCCACCAATGATTCTATCAGAAAACAGCATTTATCGGCTGCTTTCGATGACTTGTTACATGACTTGAGAAGATTCAGTATAGAGGGAATCGGCTTTGATCCCAGTATCATGCTCAGGTTATTAGAGAGTGTTGACAAGTTGGAGAGGGCCATCACAGCGTCAACCCTGGCTTGTGGGTTTCCGTCTGTAACGACTTTAACGAGGAGAGGGATCGCACCATATGCACCGATGATGGGTTTGTTGTTAGCTGAGGCAGAGAGTGTGAGTAAAGATGCAGCAGCATACTCTTGCAGTGTCGGGCTATCTGACTGTAAGAAGTTGATAATCGGCTCCAAGGCACCGGCTTCAACGATTCTGACCTTGTTCCTGAAATATGTACAGCAATGTTTTCAGATCAATCTTATTTGACATATCAACCTGTGGATGAAAAATCAGATCTTCAGATTCACTTTTGGAGGCCTAACAATTGAAATTCAAGAAAATTTGGCATAACCGCCCACCCCTCATAGGAAACGCGACCAAAGAGGCATGGAAAACAAGCAGATCTAGATCTTGGATTAAAGAATTAATGTTTCTGGACAGGAGAAAATAAAGTATTCATTAAAAAATTAGGGGGAGAAAAAGTAAAGAGCAAGAAAAGGTGGTTACTTTGCATTGCTTTTTTGCGCCTCTAGATGGATTTCATTACTGTGAATTGGTGGTTTCAGAGTTTAGACCGAAGAAAATGGGCTACCATCTCAGGAACCAGAACAGATGCAATAACTTCAACCAGCTACCATCACAGAAAATGATCCCAACACAGAAAGCAAAGGCAATTCATTCTTGAGAAGAAGCAACCTCTATCTTTCCACAGACATAATAAATGTTCACTTTCCTAATGAGGAGGTAGAGAGGGAGAGATACTGTGTGATCTGCTATTCTCTATTAGCTACCAAGCAGTTTGCATTGAACACGTAAGTTGATCTAACTGCTGAAACTGACAGCATCTCTTAGGACATGAGATCATGGTCAAGGTGGCTGAGGAAACGATATTTCTCGGGCCAAGGATTCCGTTCTGAACCATCCAAAAAGTCATAAATATCAAGAAATGAAAAAGGAAGTATCCGACTTTATAGGAAAACAACCGCCGCCGAGTTAGAATCAAAAGAAAAAGAGAGGCAAAGGAAGAAACAATAAATAAGGAAGAATGCCCATTAGAACTGTGACGAAATATCCTATTCCCCAGAATGGATGAACCCCATGAAGATTGAATCTCCCCACGAAAAAAAAAAAGGTATATATATCCTTCGAAAGGAAGCAAAAGGATAATAAAAGAAGAGAAAAATCCTCAGGGAACATAGAGTATGATCCAAGCAAAAAAACAAAAAAAAAAAGCTACACCAACACACAGATAAAAGGAGAAAAGTTCTATCTATTCAACCCACTGTGATGAGACGATCCGGCTTTGTCACTTACAGTAATTAAACCGTGATTACTTACACTAATCCCGAATTGACACGATGCCCCCACCGACAGCCACGAATTCCCACCCTCAGATAAAGATAACCCAGTTGATGTAATTGAACCTTGATGAATTTTTTCTTCGTCCTTTCAGGAGGAAAACACGTGCACGTAATCGTGATTAACCACTTCTTAATCCCTATCTATTACCTGTGATTTTCGATGAATTTACTTAACCTGATTTTTCATTTGATTGATCTCATGATGATTTGGGTCTAGTTTTCGAGCAAAATTCGTTCAAGAAACGTAACTCGAGAATCCATACGGGAAAAGGCAGAGGAACGTACCTCTCGTCTTTGACGGCGAGGTTAAGAAGAGCAAGAAGAGCCGCCTCGTGGTGTGACTCAGGCGAGTCAGCTCGGAGCATCGAAACGAGCGATTCCACGGCCTGACTCAGGTGTCGGCGGTACCTCTGTGACGTCTTCGTGAGCCGTCGGATCTCACTGGCGGCAAAAAACCTGGAATCTGGGTCATTCGATCCGATTAAGCGGAGAGCTCGCTGGACGGCGGCGGAAGACGACAACAACGCACCGGCCAATGGCGGCAATTCGTGACCTCCACCTCCGCCGCGTGGCGACTCGCACTCGAGAGATGAAACGGAGGAGGAGGAGGAGGCGGCGGAGCTGCTGTTATCTCCGATGCGGTCCATTACCGGAGAAGGTCGAGGAAGAGAGAGGAAAAATCTGTTGAGAGGTTTACGTTAGGGGAGAGAGAGAGAGAGAAAGAAACGTGGGAGAAAGGCGTTGGCTCAACCGTTATAAGATACATGTATATAGAAGATATTATACATATACGTATATATAGATCTTTATACATATACGTATATATAGATCGTGACATAGAAAACACTTGTATTATATTTCTGCCATAGTCAATATATTATAAGTATGTATGTCTATTATATATAAAATATAAAGCACGTAACAAAAATAAAAATAGATCTATTTACAAAAAAAAAAAATAGATCGGGACTGACGGGAAAAATGGTCTTGACGTGACGGCTTTTAACAGTATGGTCAAAGTTTATTTATGAAGTCCAATCACTAATCAAGTGATTTTTTTCAAGTCTTTTCTGTTACATCATAAGTAAATCCTATAAAATATTAAAGAATCCCGTAAACAAATAAGCTTATTATAAAGGGTGCATATATCAATTTCATTACTAAAAACTGAATTAAATCGAAAAAAATACAATATACAATCAAGCCTAAAAAAGTAATTGTTGAAAAAATCCAATCAAATCAAAACAGAAACATTAGAGATAAATAAAAACGCTAATAAATAAATAATTGTATCCAATATTTGTACCAAAACAATGTATATTTATTTTTCACAAAAATTGATTATTGTAATTTTTTATATTTGAAATAATTATTATATTTCATTTGTAAATAAATAATCAAATTTCTTAAGAGCATAACATTTAATTTTAAACTTATCAACTCATACATATTAAAAGACTACATTTTCTTCATGGTCAAAGCTTCTTATTTCCTTGTCAAAACATATAAATTCAAAAAGTAATGATATTTCTTAGATATGGTACAGATTATAATTTTGTACTTAGTCTATGTATTTTTAAACAATAAATATCAGATAATTTGTTTAAATTACAACATTAAGATCAAAATACACTAATTAAAAAAAAACAAATCACATCGCTTGCGTAGAAAGTAGACATTTTTATTATATCCCATAAATCCCACATTGTGTTTTTTTTGTTTGAGAAGAAAATCAAAGGAGGCGGGAGTTGATGACAAGGCGACGCCAGAAGGCGGAGAGGGGGTCGAAGTGGATGTCCCAGGTGGGCCAGTAATGGAGGTCCTGCTTCAGCGTCAGCACCCGAGGCTTCCCGTTCAGGTGCACGGTCCTTATCCTCACGAACTCCCCATGCCCTATCTCCTTCGTCGCTCTCTCGAACGCGTTCAGGTCTGGCGTCGCCTTTCCGTTCACCTCCACTATCCACTGCAGAGCGTACAGCCCGTACCTGTGCGCCGGACTTCCATGACACCACCTGCCATCATGACCATGATGATGATGAATGTGTACATAACGGACAGCCCGGTACATAAAGCATATCATCCTCGCTGAGCTAAGTTTCGGGGAAGAGTTCCACCACAAAGGTGTATTTATAGGCAAAAACCCTAAACCCTTATCTTCCATAATATTCTACAAGAGGCTGCATCTAGGATTCAAAGCCGTGACCTTTAGGTCACAACGACAACACCTTAACAGGTGCGACAAGGTATCCCGACGATGAATGTGTGTGTGTATATGAATGTAAAGCTCGAACCTTGCCACGTAGACGCCATGACCTTCCTCGGGAAGAAACCCGAGAGCACGGACAGCGGAATGAGGATCCTGAACCACGCATCCACACCAGTTTATGGCTCTCGCCGTTCCATTCCCATCCCTCACATCGGTTCCCACTCTCAGCTCCATTTCTCGTCCCTGGATTTATATAAAAAAAAAACAGATAAAATAAATTACTAGTAACAAGGATTCAGAACCAGAAAGTCATCTCTTTTTTTTCTCGTCACCACCTGCCGGAGAATTGTTAGATTAAGATTCCCATCACTGTCGCTGCTGCTTTTATCCAATTCTTGGCACGCATCCTCTATGTCACGAAAGCATGTGACTGGTTTCTTGTTCACCGCCAGAACCATGTCTCCTTGTTCTAAAAGGTTTTCGGCTTTTGATCCTGCCAAACACCCTTTCACCCGTAGAACTTGCCGTCTGACCGGATCCTTCTTCACTAAAACCTGTGTCAAATCCCAACCAACGATGCTTCGGGGTTTCCATATGTATATTTTTCAGAAAAAGAAGACAGACGATAAAGAAGAGAAGAAAGAAAAGAAAAAGGATATAAGCCAGAAGGCATACTTGGATCCATTCATCACTCAATCCAAAACTCCGAGCTTTCGAGAGCAAAGTTGGGTACAGCTCAACCTCTAAGATCCGAACGAGCGGCATTGGCCTTTCAACACCATTTACGAGAAGAGTCGGTCCATTCCCGCCAGCTATGATTTTCTCCAGAACTTGGCTGACTGCATATACCGGGATACCTCTGACGAATTGGTGGTCTTCTGATGAATTGCAACCATATTTTACCTGATACCAACTCACAGGAAACCTCGAATGTTTAGACTGTGAAACAAAAAATAAGGAACACCAAACCCGAAAGCTGTACCTGAGTTGAAAAGCTTCCCCATATAGCTCGAACTCTTCCCTGCTCATCAGTCAGAACCCCTGAAAATGAGCTACCAAAATCTGCGAGAAAAAGAACCAGAGAGTAAGAGCCTCGCACAAGTCAAAAGTAATCAAATAAGACTCTCACCGGTATCAAGCTCGATAACTTCCATATTGGTAGCTCGATATCGTGGACTATCAGCAGAGCCAATGTTTAAAGCTGCACATGGGTTCGTCACAAACGAATTCCTCGATGTGGCTTGAAGACTTCTACTTAGTCCCACAAGATAGACCGACTCTCCACGTTGCAATGCAGGCTCTGTTCATTCAAAGCATTTCAATGTTAGAATGTCCTCATGACACAACTAGAAAGGAATTTTACATGATGGGCGAAGGAAACTACACAAACCGGATTATATTAATTAGAAACTTTCTTGAGTTCCTTATACCAATCGAATTAATTCGGAACTAACCAGCAGATACATTTCCATATGGATGGAACAAATTATGACAAAGAAACATTAACATTTACGAACTAATCGGCTGTGGTTAGATGGAGCATTGGTCTAGGGTCTTGCAAGGAAAGAATGCAAGAAAGAAACTTTAATATTCAACCAGGCCTACTCAAAAAAGCAGAACGATTCTTTAAAAGGGTGATACTCAACCAGAGACGACAAGAAAGAAAATTTCATATTGAACCAGTCGAACAAGCTTGTAGCTTTTGACAAAGAACAGAAAGTCAGATTTCCCCAAGTGTTTTTACCGATGGATGCAGCAAACTTACCAGGAAGCAGCTCAGCTGCACGAACAACTGAAGCACCAGCAGTACCAAGAGCAGAAGGATCATAAGCAATAAGAGCATAGTTGTGAACAGGATGAAGGAAAACCACCTGTAGTTCAATTAAAAAAAATCAATGACAAAGGTTCCTTTCAAATACTTGTGCTGCCATATTCATCTAAAAATTCTCACCTCTCCAGGAATCTCGACAGGAAAAGCAGCAAAAGACAACATAATGTCAGATGCAGATATCGCAACAGTGTTCTTGTCCACCACAACTAGTCCCATGCTAGTAGAATGATAGATAATGACACCAGTACCAAAGAAATGCTGCGAGTGTACACCATCAAGACTGCAAGAAGGTGGCACATGAACCTGCATAAGAAAGAGGATTTTGTTTCGGCAGATGCAAGTTAACCAATATCCTTACAAGAGATAAAAACCGTAAGACCGAATTTCAACAATAGTAACCACAAATCACATCTCAATGAGAACAAATTACTATGTTGCATGAAAATGTCGTTTCATCAGGCCAAAGTTCAATGGAGGATCAAACAAGCATTCAGGGACTGACATTTCCAGACTTTATAAGAGAAATGATCAGCAACTATTATTTTAAATTTGTAATTATCCATGTAGCGCATATGTTGGCAAAATAATTTAACAGAACTCAATGTAGCATTTTAATGCGTAGAATGTTAGTAATAAGAAATTTTGAACTAAAACTGTAACTGGCGTAAGAAATATGGACCTGGTATTCATTTTGTACACAACTTATTCGAGTGTGACACTAACCATCTTCTTAGCAAATCTATAAAACTTTCAGAGATGAAATTACTAAGGTTCTCTCAACTATGTTTTCTCCCTTCTAACCAATCTTGTTGATTAAATGCTAAAGAGTAATCTCACCTTCGGGATGAAATGTGAGAATGACAAGTCAGAAGCAAGAAGAAAACAACTTGAAACAAAAAGTACAATGCAAAGGCAAAAAACTTGCTTAGAAGAAAAGCTCGTACCTCAAACATCACAAGAGCAGGCTCAATCACACGTTCGGCAAAAGAAGCATTATTAGCAGCCAGTGCTGTTGCACCTTGGGAGTCTCTTAAGACTTCATTCTCTGTTACCATTGCATCATCCGACTTAAATTCACTGCCAAGTAAGGAACCATTGGTGACAGCTCCATCTAAAGACACGTCATCTTTCACTTTTCGTTTCTTTGCTCCTGAGCCAGAATCATCCTGAGAGTAGTGTTCATCTGCACCATCCCCAGAGGAGGCTCCCATTACAGTCACAACATCAGTCACGCCATCATCATTGGTTGGATGAGTTTGCTCTATTTGATGAGAGTTGCAGCTGTAAAGAACATTCTGGCTTGTAGGCAAGCCACTAAAACCAATTGATGGTGAAACAGCACCAGGCTGAATGGCAGGGCTCACATCCCATAAACCAGAACTGTCATTGCGAGTATATATTTGTGGAGGAGCATACCATTCATGGCGATCAATTGTAACTAGGACAGACTGCAGGGAAACGAAACCCATGAAGAAGTTAAGCGTTTCTCATTCGTGTAATATAGAAAATTTCAACCAGAAACATGGAATCCAGCAAACACATGTAAAAGGCAGGACGAATTAGTAAAAATACATATAGAGGACTCCCTCTGGAAATCGTGGGTAGAAAAAAAAATGAGTGTATTTATCCAATAATCATACAGGTAAGGATCATTCTCAAGCACAGCAGCAATCACTAGAGGTCATAATCACACAAAACAGCCTGAATCACCAAATTGTTAACATAACTAAGCCACTCTATACAAGAAGAGTATGCAGAAATATATCACATAAAAACACTAGCATCAACCGTAATGTCAGCCGAGAAAGGAAACAGAATATCTGGTAAAAAAATTTCGTAAACATGCAATACTACATTTACCTTCCTACGATGACGATCTGTGTGACACAGGTATTCCAGGGGAACCCGGGAACCCCTAGAAAGTCCAGAAAGAACAGAAATAAAATCCTCGAGTCCAGAAATTTCCTCATTAGCAAACTTCTTTATGATAGCGTGTCGAGGAATCCCAGCTCTAAATAGCATATATCTGCATAGAAAAAAAAAAAGAGCTCACCCATGTAAACATGATAATGCACCATCAGAAGAGACTCCTTCCAACTAGAATAAGCTTAACACAACAAATCTATTGACCACGCAACAATCAGTTAACAGTACATGCTCAAAGTCGCGCAACAAAGTTGGAAACAAGTAAAAAAGAAGTGTAAAGCTAATAAAACTCTCTTAAAAAGCAATACTGATTTTAGAGAAAAAATTTGCAGTTCTCAGGATCAAATAGGGTCCACTATGCTCTCTTGTGATCCCTCGTACTGGAGATGTAGATAAATCATTTCAAAACAAAAACAATGTTGAGGAGCACTGACTATTCTGCATACATTTTAGAGAGTTGCACAGTTAAATAAAATATAAACTTCTGATGATAAGTGCCAGAGGACTTACCCAGAGTCCGCAACATAAGCCAGACCACAAGGAAAACGAAAATTCCGAGCCTGTTTCATCAAGAACATTCTGATGATAAAATGCCATGAGAGAGCACCAGCAGAAGAATGAAATGTCTTTATCAACAGAAGACATCAATTGGAACAAGCATCTGTGTGCTATAGAACACACCATTTAACCACATCAACTCTAAAAAACCCAGCAAAGAATTCAACAATAGTTTAAGGAACTAATTTTCCAACCAAGTTTTTCCAATTAAAACAATGATTAAAAACTTAAGACAATTTCATTAAAGTTGTTGTTTTCCCTGGAAGATGCATCTCTGAATATACATATTATTGATCCCCTGCCATTTTAGCTAAAAAAATATCCTTATTTTGATCCAAGTGATGAAACATCAGTCTTATAGATAACAGTTCTCTTTGGAGAAAGCCTCTGACAATAATCTACGGTAACTTCATTTTCACCCATAATGGCAGAATTAAAAGGTAAAACCCAACAAACACTCGGAAAGATCATCTAACCAGGAGCAAGAATTTCTAAATAATTTTTGAGTGTCATATTACCTGCTGATAAGATAAGGGATGAATGACAGCACCACTCACTTCCAGGAAGTGGTCTGGTGTTATTGAATGTAAATTCTGAACCTGTGGATGAAAATAACAAACACATGATGAGATTAGTATCAAACAGAGCAAAAAGTAAATAACTTTGGATACTGCTGTATGTCACACAAAATCCCGGAATTCGAGTTTCACTGAAGCAGGAACACTTATTCAATAGATACCATTTTCACACATATGCACGGGCAAAAAGGAGGAAAAGAATAATCAGAGTGGAACTTAATTCAGTGACCTATCTTTGTCCTCCCCCCCCCCTTCTAACCAATCTTG